CTGGTCCTGCCCAGACTCCACCTCTGAGCATGCAAGGGACCGCCCACCACGTCCCCTTTACCGGCTGGTCCTGCCCAGACTCCACCTCTGAGCATGCAAGGGACCGCCCACCACGTCCCCTTTACCGGCTGGTCCTGCCCAGACTCCACCTCTGAGCATGCAAGGGACCGCCCACCACGTCCCCTTTACCGGCTGGGCCTGCACAGACTCCACCTCTGAACATGCAAGGGACCGCCCACTCCAATCTCTACAGTTCTTGCTTCTATTGTACATGTGTAGTACCTGAAATGAGGTTGATGCGGTGATCCCGGGACACAGCCCCAAACACAACAACATGGGTGGGACAGAGGGACAAGGTGCGGGACTGTTCCAGCAACTCCAGGACAGTCGGCATGTATGACTGAACCCAGAAACCATCACAAATTGTGTCAAACTGTTGCAATTGAAACCCTTTAGAGGTAAACGTGGAAGTTCAGTGACGAGCCGAGCCGCCGCGTATATACGGGTGTGACCCGGAGAATACAAACTTGTCACCTGGCGTTCCTGGACAGCAAGTGACAGGAAATATCTCCTCCCACTAACCCGCCGTCGCTGTATCCTGATAATCTGCCCGGAATTCGGCCATCAGCCTGAGAATGTTATCCAGAGTTCTTTTCCATGAAGGGACTTGTGTTCAGCGGCGCTCGGTCCGCTCCGCATTGTACAATGAAGAAGTTGCCTTTGTCTATTTTACTAGAAAACTAACCAAGTCGTCTCGGCTCTCCGTGTGCGCTGTATATGGGAAGCTCCTAACGCTAACGTGTCCTGGCGGCGTATCGCTGTGCGCCGATCGCTAACAAAAAAACCTTTTATTCCACAAAGCACAATCCGCGCCTTCGCTCGGCGGGTCTCGCAGTTTCGCTCGGCGGCTCGAAGTTTCGTTCGGAGTCCATTTTAATTTTTTTCTTCTTCGGTGTAACTAACCAGCTTTCCGTCATCGCCGATATTGTGACGATCAAATGATCCCGACTTTCATTTCTAGTCATCGGTAGAGAATCTTTTTAACCCTCCGCTCCCCGGGAAGACTCGTCGCCCTTTTCGTTACTATTTCATTTTTTTTTTGTTGGTATCTGTGAGGAGAGCGGATGAATATTTCGAAAGTGTATTATATATTAAAAAAAAGATATCTGTTCTTGGTTGTCTGTAATTCATTTATGTTTGTGGGAGGAGTTTGGGGGGACGGCCCCTTCCTGTTCCAACATGACTGCGCACCAGTGCACAAAGCCAAGTCCATAAAGACATGGAGGGGGGAGTTTGGAGGGGGAGGAACGTGACTGGCCGCACAGAGTCCTGACCTCAACCCCATAGAACACCTTTGGGATGAATTAGAGCGGAGAATGCGAGCCCCTCCCCCAACATCAGTACCTGACCTCACAAATGGTCCAACATTCCCATAGACACACTCCTAAACCTTGTGGACGCCTTCCCAGAAGAGGCGGAGCTGTTATAGCGGCAAAGGGCAGAGCCAACCCAATACTGAACCCTACGGACTAAGACTGGGAGGCCATTAGAGGGCGGAGCCAACCCAATACTGAACCCTACAGACTAAGACTGGGATGCCATTAGAGGGCGGAGCCAACCCAATACTGAACCCTACGGACTAAGACTGGGAGGCCATTAGAGGGCAGAGCCAACCCAATACTGAACCCTACGGACTAAGACTGGGATGCCATTAGAGTTCATGTGCGTGTAAAGGCGTCCAAATACTTTTGGTAATATAGTGTATATTTTTTCAGGTCGAATGTATGTAATGTAATACTGAATTATGGCCACTAGAGGAAGCTGAGGAATTTCAGGATTAAATAGTTATTTCCTATGCTCCTCAGCACTGCCTGGTGACCCCCGATGCTGTATTACATTACATACATTTGACCTGAAAAGAAAATATACTTAAGAACATTTGTTTTAGCGTCTATTCACACAGAATGAATGTTCAGAATGATTTGTAGGGTGAATATCTCTGTCAGTTGGTTAGAAATAGACCCCTTAGTATCAGAGCCGCTCTGTGCAAGTGTCAGGATGACTGGCAGTAGCTCAGCGACGCATAACACAGCAGAGAAGACTTGGGTAAATTGTGTGAAGTTTGGCTTCCCCAGCATCCCTATCACACATAACATGTCTAATGATAACATGGGTTCATCTTATTGATTATATCTCCAGATGTGGCCAATAATTATTACAAATCACCACACTCAAAACATGGTAGCCTTTACGCGAATATGGACAGACCGCTGAGAACATTTTACTTATTGTAATTTCTGAATTCTGTCTTCAAGGGATCTGACTGGAATTATTCTCTGGAAATCCATTTCTGTTTTTCCAAATGACAAACTCGGAGCCTGAAATGTATTCTTCTGCCCGACAAAACAGAGCAGCATGACAGCGCCACCTTGTGGACATTTTTGGGTAATACAAGTTTCAGCATTTCACTTGGTTTACAGTAGCGATTCTCGCTCCTCGGGAGATACTTCCGCCAGTCCAGTGAAATAATATTTGACATTTTCAGCAAACGATGAATGACATTTTTATTTACAGAAATCTGCTTAAAAGTTTTAACTTAAAAAAAAAAAACAACAACGCAGTAATATTTACTTTTCATAGGTATTTGGATGAATTAATCACAAGTTGATTGACTATTTTAGGTGCCAAGAAATGAGAATTGTTTTTATTCACTGAGATTTCAATACAAAATTCAATAGAAATGTAACAAATTACTTTGTTTTAACATTCCCCTCCCCCTTCCACCACGTGAAAACCAAACGACTCAAAAACAATTTTTAAACATTGTTTATTTCTATAAACTGACACTAAACCCTGGAACTAAATCTTACAACTACATACAAGTCCCTGAAGTCTGAACAACAATGTATCTTATTTGTGTGTCACTCGGCTGGAGATCCTCCAATCATCTCTGACACTGTCCTTCCTTCTGGAGGGGGGGCTACATCTGGTCCCCATGGTCCCTGTGTGTGTTGTAAAGTAGTCACTGCTGCAAGCTCCCGCCCCCCCCCCCCCCCGCTGCA